GCCACGAGGCTTATGAGGCTATCAAATCACCATCTATGTGGATCCATGAACTTTCATTGTGGAGTTCTCACAAAGTGCAATTTTGCCAGTCAGCACTCTGCTCAGACTTGTGTCGCGTCTCGGGCGTGCTTGCCATGATCATGACATTAAGATACATTGAGGCTCCAGGTGCATGTAACGCTTGCGCACGGTTGCGCTTCCAATCTAATCGCAGCATGGTAAATTGTTGCTTGCAAGTGGGTCCAGCCGCTCTACCTTTCTGTGGGTCTCCACTTCTCTTCATTCATGGAGCTGTTAGTTGAGGTGTGGGTCAGTTGTTCTGTGGCCCATACTGCTCCAGTGGATGCAAAACAGGAGTCCCATGGTCCATCTCTGGATTCCTAACGCATCATTTGTAGTTCAAGTGACACTATGCGCAAAAATCAAACTCGGTCCGAGCCCCTCCAAAATACAGGACGCAGCTAGGACGCTTGTCCCACAATTTTGAGGCGGTATCTTTCCGAGGGTTACTTGCATGTCTTCCTTCAAGCTCACTTGTAAGTATTCTTGGTAGAGCATTGTGAATTGGCGCTCCCAAAATAGTAACTTTGTTTGTCGACCTGTTTGGGGGAGATTCATGACAAGTCTTTCTACATCTCTGACGGAACTCAAGGATGTCTTCGCGAGAGCCTGCCTGTAAGTTCAGAGTCACTGCTGAGGCCAAGCTCATCCAAGCTCCTTGGTCCCAGTAAGTTTCGGGCCACAAAAAAACAGAAAGGGTACAAAGTCACATTGGGCGTTGATCGGCATTACTCATTGCTGAGTTGTCGTCATCACCACAAAAGAATGTCACCTGGCCAGTGCCCGTCGGTGCACTAAGCAAAGGAACTCTCTTTCATGACTTTCGTCGTCTACTTCCCCACACCTGGACGGCCTCCAAGGCCGCAGCCACGCATCATTGCTGACTCTGAGCTCTGCATGAACATCAAACATGAAAGTCTGATGTTTCTTAAGCTCTGACTTTGCTCTTGAATACATTCAGCTCCCCACTTCTGTACCGAACAACTGATCACTAGCTGGAAAAACATGGAAAAACTGCAACATGATGGTCAAAAGGGATACGCGTGAGTCTCCCTAGATTCATGGATTCATGTGGGTGGCGGATGCCGAAAGGACCTGCAGAACAAGGGGCTGCATGCGCTCCATTGAAAGCTTTGAGCGTCCAAGCTGTCGTACACTAGATCTCCGACGACCCTGTGCTACAATCTCTAATCTTCACAACTTCTGAGTTCTCTTGGTACTCCGCTGTCTTTACACGGCTTCCAAAGAAAGTGCTTGCAGGAGCAAGGTGAGGCACTTTTTCAATGATGGTTGTGTAACTCGAAGAACTCGGAGTGCAAGAGGCATACTTGTTGAGAGGTTGGTATTGGTAAAGTTTGCAGCCTTCGGAGTTGCAGTCAGCCGTCCAACGCTCGCAGCTGCATTCTCAAACTGTCTGCATAGTTTGGCATAGGTTGACCTCTGGCTCTCCTACAGCGGTATCGACCTCAAAGCCATCTACTGCAAATGCCGCTGCATGTTTCTTTCACACGCTCGGTGTGGCTTTTGCCCCATCTCTACCCAATGCGATCAGCTGACCTTGCGTAAGGTCCACAAGGTTTGGCCAGCCCGGTCTATGCCACTCTGCAACAAGTACACTGGCCCAGCTGTTTTGAATGCCCAAAGCAAACCGCCGTAGTGGTTTCTCAAGATCAGCAACTCATCTGCAGCAAGATCCGAACGAACGAAGTGCTCAATCAATTCGCGCGGAGCTCCACCGAAACAATCGGCATTTTGCCGTACATCGCATGCACCCGCACGATATCTCCAAGTTGACAGCGACACAAGCCTCCGTAGGTCGTCACAACTAGCGCATAACGAGAGCCGACTTCAGCTTCCCAAGCAGGGATGGCAGGCTTGGACGGATCTTCAACCGCGAGCAGCTCAAAAAACATGCTCCCAGGATCCTCGGAAGCGAAATAAATCATGACAACTCTGATCAAATCCTCCAACAACAGCACAACAATCACAATGCAACAACGTGCATTGATCCAGCTGTGCGTAAACAAATTGTGCTCACAGTAACTCTGATCAAGTTTTGCGAAGCGCAAACATCCAATGCATTCCATGCAGGCAAAGCTTCTAAGAGGTAGGTCCATTCCCCGAAGGGCTCCTCAGGGAAAATGTTCACTCCAATGTGGCCATGGGCACTTGAGTACAGCCTTGGTCGGACACAATAGAGTCTCTTGGCCAAGCGTCAGTTTCATGCTGTCCCATGTTGAAATCCTGATTTAAAAAGAAATCTCACAACTGTTGTGTTACTTCACCACTTTGCAACGAAAGCTGTGCTTTGGACATGGTACAGTGTGTGTTGGCTTGCTGGGCTGTATGCTGCTCTAGCCTTATGAGCACTTCCCTTGCATCATGCTACCACTATCTACCGCTGATTCTTCAAGAACCAGCCCGGTGGTGATGAAGCACGTGCTGCAAGAGCCTACAAGGAATGTCACGTACTAGTACGACCGCAAACAATAGACCTGTACTGTGAAGGACCCATGCCAGTCTCCTTGCTAGCCTGCCTAACGCTGTTCACTATGCGAGATTCTGGCAAGCAACGGTGAATAGACTGGCAACTCGGCAAAAGCCTCCTTGCCTTCCGTACTGGTGCTTGTCACTAGCACAGCCTGGCCAAAGGCGGAGTCAGTCAGGTCTCTGGGTTGGGATGCAGCAAGTTTGAAGTACGGTGGAATTCTCTTTCCCACTTCAAGGTCTAATCTAGTTTTGTGAGTCTTGAATTGGACAGTTTGACGTACAAGTCAATTGAAACTTTACAAAGCTCTTTGAGCCTGCAAGTGAGGCCAAAGCTCTCTTGCGCCTGCACCCCGCTTCAGCAATTTGTCCTTGGGTGCGCAAACTCACTAACATCCTCAAGAATGACAAATTGGTTGAACGACGCGTTCTTTTGTTGGTCACCGTTTAGAAGCAAAAACCCTCCTTGAAAAGCTGCAAAAGTAAATCTTCAGGAAAGCTGCAACTTCCAGAGACCTGCGCCCATCTGGGCCTTTTAATGCAGCATCCAGCTCCTTCCGCAGCTCAGGTTGGGGCACATGTTCGGGCAAGCGCCGGTCCCAAAGATGGCCTCGCCAAAGATTGCCACAATTTAATGGTCTCCTCATAAAAAGAATTGAAAATGCGATGCAAGATTCTATGCAAACAAGAACTCTTGTATCTTCATCAACCCTCAATATCTCTCTCGAACGACATATTTGTTGCATGTTTTCGCCTCAAGTCTATTTGTGAAAAGAAAATATCAACTGAGTGGCCGTTGCGAAGGTCTTGGACCAAGTGTCGCCGATGACGATGTGCAGTGGTCATCAGCATGGAAGCCACACCGGCCGAGCTGGCCTGAATCATGTTAAGGTTGCGCTCTTTCAGTGCAAAGAGCGTGTGCACGTAGGATCTGTCCACTTCGGACAGGCCATAAGCAGCCATCGGACTTGTGCACAGGAATGAAAAGGAAAATGGCCAGTTGAATAAACCATGAGCCATCCCTTCTAAGGGTGGAAGGTTGGAATGTAAATCCGGAGTCAGTGCAGTCATCCTCTGAAGTTCCTCCACAACACTGGGGAAGAAGTAGCTGAGAGAAGCAAAAGCTGGCAAGAAACCTCGTTGAATAAAAATGTTTGAGACCTCCTTCATTCCAATATTCTTACCAAAGCTGGCAAAGAGCCTCTCGGCGTTCTCTGGAGAGGACAACGGATGGCTCTCTCGAAACATGTGGTAGGTTGCAACTCCTTCGGGTGCACACAAACAATTGCCTGTTATACGCAGGCAGCTAACAGCTACGTAGAGAAGCTCCTTGAACAGTCATACAATTGGGCTTATGAACTACGGGTTATAGAAAGAAAAGAAAACATGAGTTGTGTCTATCAAAAATCGGAGAAACTCGTCACTAGTCTTCGTGTTCAAAGCCTCCTGAAGGGGTCGTGGTGTGCAGTTGCAGGTTCACTTTCAAGCAGTGCGTCCTTGCAAGCCGTGCTGCAAGGCATACGGACTATCTTGATGCCTTTGCAAAATATCGGCCAAGAGCTGCCTTTGCACCTCCCAGGGGATACCGGGACATAACTTTGGTCTGCGTCTATTTATATATGCATGTTGGCGTACTTGATGGCAGTTCAGTACCAAGTTTTACATGTGCAAATGCGTGTAGAACATGTGTGTACAGAACACAAACTACAGCTGCTCTGTGATATAACAGTGAGTCAAAACCTCCCCAACCAAACAGTGGAAGGTTGACATGTTTGGTAGTCTCTTCTGTTCATGTTCCGTGGTCAACCAAGGTCCCCTGGTTTTGACCCACACCCAAATATTTGTTAAGGTCACTACGGGGCTCGAAGCCTCGTCACCCTGCTGTGCATCCAAGCAAACTCGTTGCAGCTGATATCGCCCAAGTATTTTCAGCAAAGCAAAGAGTGCGTACCTGACACTTTATGTACAAACAGCAAAATCCATGTGCATGGACCCGTTGAAACAACTTGAAACTTCACCTGCTCTCACGAAATGCAGAAGAAAAGCAAACGTATGATTCTGTATGATGTATACAATATAGACAGAGAGAGAGAGAGCAAAAAACTACATATATAATTATATATATAGCAAAAATAAAATGGATCTGAAGCTGAGAGACTGCTTCATGGCCATAGACCATGTGTGTCGCAGTGACCAATCTCTATTGCTAGCATCGTAGATCACAATGCCACCCAAGCAAGCACACGTGACACGACTGAGGCGGCCCAAGTAGCCTGACATTCGATGCGCCTTGGGCTAGTCACTACTTGGCTGGAGCATTGGGCCGGGCTGCGACAGGCTCAGTTGCAACATATTCAGGCGACTCATCGAAGCCAATGTTGTTTGGCCTTGGAAGGTCCTTAAGCAATTTTGCTTATGTTTGATTGACCAAAGCCGACAGTAAGCATTCTTTTCCCAGAAGAACAGAGTGGGCAATTCAGAGTCCAAGCATCGCCACCTCATCGCATGGCTTTCGACTGCGGTCATGACCAAAACAGCTTGAGGCGACGACAGCCTGCCAGTTCTTTCGGGGAGGCAGGCTTAACGCACAACCTCATGTTGCGATGATGGAACAGTTTGTTCGAAAAAATTGCGATTGCAAATCTCCGAAATGTTCAAAGAGTTTCAAATTTCTCAGACAGTCGCTGCCCGGACGCGCATCTGCTGCATGATGCTCAGTATGGAAGAATTTAACTCAGCCTGCAAAGCGGCAGAAGACTCTTAGCAGTGTGCTAGGCAAGGCAGTGCCAAGAAGCTGATCTTCTTCATTCTTGTTCAAGTCCTAAAGCATCATCAAGTCGGACCCTTCTGTGGCCTTCCTGGTAACTTCGAGGACCTTCGTTCGGGCTTCTTTAGTCTGCTGAGAAACAGTGGAATACGCAGTTGAAAAAATTGAAAAGGGATTAAAAGTCATGAAAATGAAACAAACAAAAAAGGACCAACAAACGGATGGCTCATTCATGTTCATTCACTCTGGCTTCGCGTGCTCACGCTCTGCACCTGCACATGACGCGGATTCTCAGTTGGATCGCTCAACACTGGGATGCCCCGGCGTTGTTGTACAGAGTCGCTTTCAGCGTTGGGTCAAGACCTGAAAGCAACAAATTAGGTTCCTTTTACTATTACAGGTTGGAGGCCATCGCTACTAGGGTGGAGGCCATCGCAATCAGGTTCCGTTTCCTCAGAGCCTTGAGAGCCTCAGGATGTGGCACTCGTTGGCCTCATCCAACAAGCAAAGAGCTCGATCCACAGACGCCTGCCAGTGATGAGCGCCTTACACATTTCACTATAAAACCTTTAAAGGATTCTGTGAGTTTCCGCTCAAGACTCGCCATCGCAAACATACTTACTGCCATCATTCCACTTGCAAAGGTCGAAGTACCAGCCAAGTCTCAAATGTGAATCACACAAAATGTGCCACAATAAATCACATATGGGCTGGCAATGCCTTCTTTCATCGGGATCCAAAATAGCAACATGATGCAAATGGCCGACACCTCTGTGACGGAGCTGCTAGCTTTGCAAAAGGCCTTCACCTCGGTGTACCAAATCTCTACCATCGTATGCCAAGGTGCAGAAAATCAAAAGGGCCAAAGAGCTACTCGGCAAAGTTCAACATTGAACAACCTCTGCTCAGCTGCTCGGAGCTCCTGAGAGCCTCACCAAAATTGAGCAAGTAAACTTGTCGGGTTTGAAGCCACGTTTGCGCATCTCCTCCCACAGAATTTTGCGGGACAGGTGACAGGAACTGCCTTTTGCTTGGAGTCGGCTCGAGAGTTGGTGTCCACTCGTATCCATGCTCGTCTTGTCTTTCAGTCCTGCAGGCGTGTCCAAGCTTCTTCTGGCTTGCCGGCACGTACTGCAGCATCCATCACCTACTGCAACAAACGAACTTACACTTCACTTGGATCGAAAATAGTGAAACGATGTCAAACGATCTTTGGAAGCACTGTGATGGTCCAATCATTCTCACACTTACTTCTAGAGGATGCACCCCATGTGAGGAACACCATGCTGTCCAAATCCGTCAGGTCTATTCTCGCAAGGAGGGTTCGGAACTGTTTCTTGAAAGGCTTGGAGCAAAATGCACAAACAATTTTGTTGCGAGTTTCAGCACTTTGCAGTTTGTAGCTGTCTTGAAGAGCACACTTCAAGAGGCTTTCTTGATCCATTGTAAAGACTCTGAGGCAACTGCCGTGTTGAATGTGATGGCATTGGGACGTCTCTTTTTGGCATGCATCCGCTCCAATACCTCAGAATTTCGACACATCTATGGAGGGAGTGGTAAAGTTCGCTTCTGCCCCTACCTCACAAGCGCCAGAATAATTTGCTCGCTGGGCGAAAGCCTTGATTATGGTGTTGTACGAGACAACCTTGGACGCCGGCCATGGCAAGGCGACAGCTTGAGGAGTAATGGATTTTGTATGTAAGTATGGAATTGAATAGTATGAGTGGAAGTTTATAACTATAATATATACCTGAGAAGGGAGGGGACGAAAGCCAGCCTCTGGCGTAGGGGTGCTCTCAGGGTAGGCCCGGGCAAAGACTTGGCGTGCAAGAGGAAGTGATGGGGTAACATCGGGCAAAGATTAATTTCATGGGGCGAAGTTGACATCGCAGCCACACCGATAGGGGGTAGAAATGGAAAGTAAAAGACATATAGGTCTAGGGGGGGGCCTTTTTCACCCCGGCTCAGGGGGGAGGAGGTGAAAAAGGGCACCCCTCAGGAAGTGAGGCGCGCTTGCCGGCGGCGTGTTGCGAATCAGTGAGCAGAGACGGCGGTGGGGGTTCATGTGCGAGGCAATGGGTAGGGTAGGTGAGGAGATATGCTACGGATAAAAAAGGGCACCCCTATTCAGGACCTTCTGTCTCCAACGCTTGCCTGCTGCAATCTCTTCTCTCTCCTGCCCCCAACAACCCAATCCACGTGAACTCCCACCACATAGGGGTTCCCTCTTTAGCGCGGCTCTCTCGCAGGTCCTCAACAGATGGCATCATGCACTCCATGGCCTCCTGAGCCCCTTGTGACGCTGATGCACTCTTCGCCGTCAATTACATCACCGGCATCACAACGCCCCTCAAGCCACTTTTTTCTTCCTTTCCTCTTTGCAATGATCTGACACCGAGGCACAACTTGGTTGGTCCCCAATGCAGGAGCACTTTACAGCGAGAAAACACGAATGCACGGAAGGCACGAAGGCAAGAAACTAAGGGCGTGGCCGAACGAAAGCAAAGCTGGCGGCGGGCTCAAGTACATCAAGGTGCTTAATGACGAATTGGAAAAAGCGGTGGTGTCGTCAACGTAAAGGACAAGTCGTTCCGAGTTTTCTTTGTGCTGGTCAGCGTGTTCTGAAACCAGCGTGCAGCATTAAGGCCACCTACTGTACAAGTGAAGGCCGGGCCGCAATGCCAGGTTTTACTGCAGAGAAGCCTAATCTGCGCGCTGACAAAGCTTTGGTACAATATGCGAAAGGCATGGCAATGACTCCTTTGCGAACAAGCATTTTCCGCCTCTTTTTGTCGCTCTCCCCCACCAGGCTCTGGGTTCACCTCTCCGGAATTGGCCACCACGCAACCACCCCCTCACGCACCCCTTTTACTCACTTCGTTCGCTCCAACAACCTCAAGCCCTGCCTACCAGCTGGCTTTCGTGATATAAATTCACTTTTATCTCTCTCTATATATATATATATATATTTGTGTTGTTTAATACAAGTAAAAGCTCCTGGGACGACGGCATCAGGCATACAATGCTCTGTTTGCTCAGCCTGGCCATGTCTGGAGTCAAATAATCAAGCCATCCCTATGAACCTTTACTAGTAACAAGGTACCTTACTACTAGCAACAAGAACCTACTAGTAGCTCCTGTAGCAAAAAGCTACTAGAAACAAGAAGCTACTATGAACCAAACGCATCCAAAGCAACAGGCCAAGCTGCACCTCGGCTAAGAGTGCTAGCACTTCCTCGACCTGCGACTCCAAGGCAAGACAGGTCTCGGTCTCAGTATCTCAAGATGGACTAGCGGGAACAACGCTCTGCGTCTTTAAGAGCTCTGTGTAGAGAAAATGTGAGTGGAGAATGCATGCAAGTTAATAAAGTCTATTCTACAATCCTAAAAGGAGCAAGGACGCTACTAGTAGCTCCTGGCATTACTACTAGTAACAAGAAGCTACTAGTGACAAAGGGCATCGCTACTAGGAGCAAGGACGTCAAAAGAGAAAGTGAAAGCATCGAAAGGTGGCATAAATTCTGCGTGAACGGACTTGCGGAATCGATGTCCCATGGTCCCACCTTGTCAGCTGCAACCCCTGTGGACAAAGCCACGTTCAGCGCGAGGCTGTCCATAGCAACACCTCCAAGCACAAAGCTAGTAGCGTCCTTGTCTGCATACATCCCGACTCGATGGTGCCAACATCACACTCACCCTCGATGGTGCGAACATGAGGTGACGCACAAGCGATTTGTCTACATCGGCGATGCCAAGAGGTGCGGTTGTTAATTGTTCAGGCATGCGGGCGCCGCTATTGGACACTGCATGCATGCCCAAGAATGCTATGTAATGCATTGTTTCGGATCAATCTGAAGACCAAAAACAGGGATGTCAAAACCACACTGTCAGAAGCCATAGGTGTTCCGCCGTCGCCTTCCAGCCTTACACTTCATCGTCATGGTGGACCTGCTTGATTCCAAGGCAGCCTTCGAAGAAGGAGCGTTTCTGAGGTCCAGTCTCGGACTGCTCAGATTGGAAGGCTTCATACTGCTGCTTAAAATCGTTGATGTTTTCCGTACCAGTCTTTTGGAGTCGGCTGGGAGGAGAACCGGTGATCCAGAAATACGCGGCTTCTCGCCAGGACAGCTTGAAGGCCTTCTTGGCCATCCATGGGTTCAAAGGTCCAAGGCCTGAGACAAAGGCGAAGACCGACATGGCAAAAATCGCTGCCAGGACTTGTCCTCGGACGTAGTACCGGTTCGTATTTTCGCCACACCCGAAAATTGCCATTGGCCCAATGACCCGAGCCGGATTCAAGGCAGCGCCTGTGTACTGGCCACCAGAACCTGCACATGCGAAAAGTGCCAATCCAACTGCTAAAGGTGTGTGGCTTCCATGCCCGGGCTTTGCGATTCCACATGCATAGACACAGGAGATCAGTGTGAAAGTCATAACGCACTCCCACCACATCACCTGTTCGCCTGTGACACCACCCTTTGGGCTGAAGCAGCCCGGACCGCCATCACCCATCTGAACTTCTGCACCCGGCACCAGAAAGGCTGTGACCAAGGCTCCGATAATGGCTCCTACAATCTGAAGCACCACATAGATGACGGTATGCAACACTGGATAGAAGCCACAAATGCAAGTGCTGATGGACACTGCCGGATTCAGGTGACCTCCTGAGATGTTCGCTGCCGTGTAAACCCAGACAGCCAAAGCAATACCATTCACCCAAGCGGCCATGTCCTTGTCTGCACTTCCACCCAGAATCTGAAAGAACATTACTCCGATGAACTCCACTGCCAAGGAAACTGCGAACTGCCTTGAGAACACAGACTTGTAGTTGGCGAAGATGCTCTCCCGATCGACGGTCATTGTAGTCTTGGAAGCGTTGCAGGGCAGCTGGGCAGCTTGATGGTTTCTGCTCAAATGGCTTGAGCCAAGAGTGACAATTATGCTAATACGGTCCAAGCAAGCATTTTGATGGGCTAATGTGAAGTTGGCAATGTGAAAAGCCAAAAAAATGCTTGAAGAAGGCCAAGATTTAAAAACTAGACGACGGTTGGCCCGAGAGCGAGACATGTGATTGTCCAGCACTGTCGAAAATATATATAGAAAGAGAGAAAGAGAGAGTGGATGTGAAGGAGTGACAGTGTGGATGCGCAGGTGCGATATAGATCTGTAGATGTATGGAGGTGGAGAGGTAGATCTGTGGATGTGAGCGTGCCCAGATGTAAATACACAAAGGCGAGAGAAAAAATATGTAGAAAGAATGAAAGAAAGACAGGACAGATGTCAAGGAGCGACAGTGTGGATGTACAGATGTGATATAGATGCGCAGATGTGTGGGTGTGGTGAGGTGGAGAGGTAGATCAGCGGATGTGAGCGTGTCAAGATGTAAATGTAGAGAGGTGAGGGGGTGTAGACGGAGATGCGTCGACGCAACGGCAGCGCAACGTCAACCTTAACTTGAGAGGAGGGAGACACGAAAGGTAGGACAGCGGGAAGAGAAGAGAACGCGAGAGGCAGGAACAAAAATGCAATGTTCGACATGGTGATTTATCCCCTCGGAGGCGACCTTTCGTAAATATATGCTCATATGCACTCTAAATGTTCAAACATATGCTCTCGAAATGTTCAAAAAGATTCTTAGGAAAACAAACTTGCCCCATGGCTCAGATCATCGGTGAGCATTGAATCGGAACATCATAGGATTTGAACTATCCTGAAACCGTAAGAGGCTCACGAAGACGCTCCCCAGGAGAGAATTGACGTGCTTCACAAAACAAACTCTAGGTATGTATCCCCTCGGGGAACACCTTTCGTGATTAGAATTTCATATTCACTCTTTCTAAATGTTCAAGAGGGTTTCAACTATCCTGAAATCATGAGAGGCTCACGAAGACGTTCTCCAGGAGAGAATTGAATTTAGAGGGGGGGGGTCTGTATTGAAAAATCAATTCCAAGGGGGCGGGGGGTGAAAGAGTGACTAGGGCGTACACGGTTGAGGTGCAGACCGCTAGTGTCTTTTATGCGCAGAGTCTTATCCTCTTGAGCCTTATGGCAGTCAAGCATGGACACACTAGATAGGCCACTGGAGTGGAACCTGTACAAGTAGGCCTCTACATTTCAGCAGGCACAAAATTCATGTCCACTCCTGCCTACTGCGTATGTCGCACACTATTTTTCCACCTTAAGGCTAAAACAGTCCAGCAAGCTCTAGTAAGCTTAAAAGGAAACCACGGTGCCCTGTACTTACCAAATCCAGTGTATTGCACACTATAGAAAAGGTAATCTCAAGGTATACTAAATACAGTGAGGGAGCAATAGCTGACTCACCTCAAATACAAAGTCAAAGACAATGTATCTCGGCTGGAGACTGTATTGTTCACCGGCGAAGATACCATGTACCGGCGCTCAATAGCCCTTAAAAAGCCAGAGCTGTCAATCTTTCAAAAGACTCTAATTCAAAGGGAAAGCGGCTTCTTTTACACAGAGACCTATAAAAGCGGTAAACGACACTCGCGTAACAAGGAACTAAAAATCCAAGACCGCACAAAATGCAAAATGCAAGGAGCGTGCATCTATCGGTCCGAGGAATGGTCTTCTCGAAAAGTGGTCTCGGCCGCTTCCTTTAACTGCATCAAAAGGACTCTCTCTCACATTAACATCAAAAACACAAAGAAGGAGATACCGGCAAATGTATGTACAAAAATCTTGCACTACAATTGCAAATCATGAAATGACTTAATCATCAACCATAAATGGTTGTCCATTAGAGGTCACTTCATAAGAGCGACTGTGGTAGATATCATCAGTTATGTAAAACTGTCCATACCTACCTGCAGATAATATCTGTTTAGAAAAACTGTGCTTATCTGCATGCTAAAGCTTCAAACTTTAGCCTGGCAACTTAAAGTCAAGCCTGGAAGCAAAGTATCAACTGTAACCAGAAGTATCTTCACTTCCTAGCTATCATTTAAATTTCAGCCTTCGCTCAGGATTTATGCCGCTGCAGACGATGAAGCTGCTTGATCAGAAGTTGGCGGCCTTCCTTTCTTTCTATTCTGCTTCTGTCTCTCCTTCCTCCGCAAGTTCGCCTCATGAAGAGTTGCTCCCATGCGATATTGTCTTCTGTCTCCAGATGAAAAAGAAGCTGGTCTGAGTGAAATAAACAGTGGACCATGACTGTCTTCGTCAGAGGGTCTTGAGCACATAACCTCCGTGTCAATCATAGCAAAGTTCTCTGAAAAATTACAGATGAACTCCTTTGTGCTCACTGTGGAATTTTCATATTCCTCTTCACTCATTGAATGACCCCATTCAACAATGGTAGACAAACACGTATCGCCAAGCTGTGATCCCTGGTATGTTTCTTTTTCCTCTGTAGAATATTCTTCCCAAAGTTTCTCAAAATAAACTTCACATTGCTTGAGAACATGTGAAGATGAACTGTAAAATGTTCTGGGAATAGGTGCTTTGATACCAGGATCTGCTTTTACACGAGCTTCAGAAAACTTGCGGATCCAATGCTGCATGGTGCTGTAATAATAGTTAGCCATTGGCTGCCTTTTGTACCCAGACATTCTGTAGGCCAAACTATTTGCATCACCAGAAATGATGTCCACCTCATAGACAAAACACTCGTAAAGCATCAGTGCTGTCTGTTCTCCTGTCAATAGGTGGGCATCCACAGCACGGTGTGTGTCAACATGATAATTACAGACTCTAATGGTATGCATGTTCGCTCAAGTAAGTGGAACACGTTGGTCCTCAGGACCATAGTCATCAAATTCAAAGTCTGCATCCTTGAAATCTTGACGAGGCCTTGTTTCTCCAAAACAAATCTCGTAGATTGCCCAAGTTACATCACGCTGTTCACAGTGACCAAGTTCTTGATCATGTCCAGCAATGATCTTGACATATCCACCTGGTGCCAATCTAGCCATCACTGCAAGATTCTCCCAATCATTGAAACAAACTGTCCAATTCTTTTGCTCAATAAATTCCTTGGCAGGAACAAGAAGAGGAGCTTCCTGGAGAATCACGACATGTGCACGTAAAAAGAAGAGCATGTTGAAGAAAAGGTTGTTCTCAAATTGCTCAGTTTGAAGTGACATGTCACTCTGTCTGCGTGGCTTCATTGCACTATCAAGTCCTTGGAGAAACCTTGGTGTGGTGTACTTCTGACCACGAACCATGTTGCCATAGTTCCAGGATAAAAATGTCAAGGACTCTGAGCTGGCCAATAAGTTAGTTCCATATGGTTCTTCTATTCTTCCTTTGAGGAACCTTCTGCACAGCTCTTCATAGAAGGTGACATAGTCCCAACTGTGTCCCTTGGGACCATATGATTCCAGTTCCTTCTTAAGTTCCTTCTTTGTATCCTCCAATTCTGCTCGAGCTTGTTCTGCCCTTTCAAGGGCCTTTGGATCGACCTGATACATGCCATCCAAATAACTGATGCGGTCATCATTGATGAAAAATCTCTTCAAATCATGCTCTGAGTTGTGTTCATAACAATCAGGTGGAGGTACTGGACAGACCTTTCGAATGGACCGGACAAAATCGTCCTCGTTTACCCTCGACTGATAGTGAGGATGGGAAATCTCATCCTTTCTGAAACAAACATGGTTCAGC